AAGTGGTGAGAGAGAATCATCAATTAGCTGCTTCCTGCATGCCCCACACTGGGGATCGAGCCGACAATCTGGAATCGAACCTAGGGGCCCTGACTGGGAATCGAACCATGACCTCCTAGTTTATGGGTTGACGCTCAACCATGTTGGCTGGGCTAAACTTTTCATTCTTGATAGCTAAAACATTAGCATATAAATGTCCCAATTTTAGGAAGGATATTAAGGAAAGTTATAATACTATTCTGTAGAGGTATAATCACATCTTGCTTTTCAATTGTCTGCAATTGTTTTTGTTTCAGAAAAGCACAGGTCGACCACATATAATCCAGAAAACCTTGGCGGGACAATATTCTAAGCAAATGAAGAATCTCAGTAAGTTTTAATCCAAGTAGCCATTCTATTTTGTGTGATAGGAACTATAACTTGGTGGAACTAGGTAGACAGGCAGGCTTGCTGGGAGGCAGTGCTGACTTGAGATCTGGAGTGAGCAGTGTGGTGGGCTGTGGAGAGAACGGTGGCTTTCATGTGATGAGTTGTGGATAGCTGTTTTCGATGGAGAGACTGAAAAATGAAGCCTGGGAATAAAGCGGTGTGAGGAACCAGAGAGTAAGGCCAAATTTAAGAGTGATTTACAGTGAGGTTCCTGCTTAAATTTCCCTGGCAGTTTACTGCTCTTCGGCGAACTTGCATTGTCTCTCTTTTATGTCTCTCTCTGAGGCATCTTAAGCATGCTGATTTGCAAAAGCTTCTTTTGGATTATTGCAGTACGTGATGTTACTACTTCTGTATCCTGATGCCAGAAGTCTTTAATAATTTATGCAAAAGCTTATGACATACATTATTATTATTATTTTATTTAATCCTCACCAAAGGATATGTTTCTTAATTGATTTGAGAGAGAGAGAGGATACCATCTATGTGAGAAAAACTTCGATGCATTGCTTCCCGTATGCTCCCTGACTGGGAATCGAACTCTCAACTTTTTGGTGTACAGGACAATGCTCCAACTGACTGAGCCACCCAGCAAGGACATGGCATACATTATTTTTAATTCTAAAATGAATTCTATACTTAATATATACTAAACTGTAGAATACTCTTAAGCTTTCAGAAATTGAAGTTCAGGTGGTTGTAGGTCAAATATGCATATTCTAATGAGTCTTGAAAAACTCATTAAGTTATTGGTGATATTTGGAAGAAAATTATGTTTGAATTACATTATGATTTATTAATTACAAATTGAAATATATTTGTGACTGTGAGAATATGAAGTGTTTATTGATTGGCATGCATTTTCCACCTTCATTTTGGTTTTAGATGAAATTGCTCTCTAGACTGCTTTACCTTCATATAATATGTGAAAAACATACTCTCATTGAAGTACAGTCAAGCATAAGTTCTGGTATTCTTTTTTTTTATTCAGGTGTGGAAAGCAGTGATCAGTGGCCCTTTCTATCTGAATTACAGTGGTTGAAAAGGAGAAGGAAGAGAGCAGTGAATGTGAGTGTCGCATTAAGCCACAGGTGGGGCCATTTGACTCTGTTAAATTGTTGCCTGTCATCATAGAGTATTTCAGTGTACCTAACACACTTGGGATTTGGGCAGCTTCCTCTGACACAAAAAACAACAAGCCCAAACCCTCTCCCAAACCCCTGTAAGTTGAGTCAATAGGCATATTGCTTTTTATTCATCAGGGACGCTGTAACGGGTTAACTGGACAGGAGGAGGTTGTGTATGCAGCGTTGGGGGCAGGGCGGCAGGGGCCTCCATGCCTGTGCTGGGAGAGGGCCTAATCACCAATGGCTATGGCTGCTTCAAGGGCTGGAGAGCAAGGCAGGGCCACACCAGCAACTCGAGGGTGGGCGGCGCTGTGTGATTTTGAATCGCTCGCTGGACTCCTAGTTAACAATAATAAACTGATTCCAGTGTTCTGTGAGCCCTAGTGGTCACATAAGGAATGTGTTTTTAAATGAAAATTGAAGTGCATTTTTTTTCTATTGAAAATATAGCTGACTTTTAAAAATATGTCTTTATAGCATCATATAAAACATTTCTATTAACAAGAGAAATAGGGGAAGGAGTTAGGTTTTTAAATGTTGGCTAATCATGCTTATTTTTATTTCTTTCAAATTAAAAACTCTGTTATACCAAACTTTGAAGCTGGATGTGTTTTTCTGAACAGAATGAATCTACTTGACCATTAGTATTATGATAGTTGCTAAATGAGAATCGTGTAATTATATAATCAACAATTGTCTTTTGGCTCCCATGTATTGATACTTGTATAGGGGCATTGTAACTGAAATTATGTTCCTGGTCTTTTTCATAATAGATTAGGAAGCTGTAATGATCGGGACTGTCTCATAATTACATGGTGAATGCTACGTAACCGAGAATTAATTCCACAGCATATAGATTACATGGTAATTTACTAGATAACTTAATAAGTAATTATGCTGGAAATTGTACATTTTAGAGAAGGTTTTGGTGAATGTATTTTTGTGGGTGAAAAAATTAGACCTCCAACCATCAAAAACTTAGTTGTAGGTGAAATCATGCTCTTTTTTGTGGTCCTGTTTTTGTATTATGGTGATTATGGTTACAGGTGTGTGTTTTTTCTCTTTTTTTTTTTTTTCAAATTAGGGATATATTTTTGCTTACTCTTAAAGATGTGATTGGTAATAATAAGTTTTACATAGGCTCATGGACATTTCACTAAAGTCCACCCCTACCGAATGTAAAATGATCCGTGACCTTGTAGTTTTCTACTATGAAAAAGAAGTCCAACATAATGGCTAACATATTTAGCCCTTGCTCTTAATGGATTATCTAGTAATAATAAAAATCTGGAAGAATTTAGAATATTGTAATTATTAGTATTTGTTCCTGTGAGAAGTTAAGAATTAGTACATTATTATTAGAATTTCACTCTGCTGAGTTAAGGTTTCTGTTTTACTACATTGGTACCTTTTCTCAATGAGCTCTACTATTCTTGGATAGGTTTTCCTTGAACTTTTAATAGATGTGATTTTTTATCACATCTTAATTGAGATTTTTTACTTCTACAGAATTATACTGTATATTTTTCTCTAGGATATTTTTACATATAAAATAATATAAAAACAACATGGGGCTCCGTTCTCTGTCTTAATGAGTGCTTTAATAATAGTTAAATATTGTTCTTTTCTGAATATTTGAATGTTCACTCACACCTTATGGTCACTTTTTTTCTATTTTTCTGAGCAAGTTTCTTCAAGGGCGTTTATAAAATAGGCAGCAAAGAGTTCTTCTGAAATTCAAAATCAATCTACGACTAAGCAGTCATCCTCAGAGAAGGTGCTATTATCTCTGACCACACATTTTTATATTCCACAGCCATCTCGTGGTGTGTTTGAAGAAATGAAATATTTGGAACTTATGATTGTTAATGATCACAAAACGGTAAGAGTATAGAACCAATGGGTTTTGGACCCAACAGCTTATTTGAGAAAGAGTACACTTCACTTTATATTCAGTTATTATTTGTTACTTTTTTAAAGCAAGATACTTAGATGTTTTATTTTTTGGAAATATTAAATGATTTCATTTATCTTATGGTGTTTTGGAACACTAGGTTTCATAGAAATTTCAGAAGTCTCAACTTTCTCTGTTTAATAATGATTGTAATTGATGGATTTAACTGTGGTATTTCTCACTTATCTTCATTTAAAATTCTTATTCTCTACTTTTCTCCATCTATGTATGTGGTCACTGCTTTCTAATTTTATTCCATGTCTTTGCTCTGCTAGCATGTTATTTTTCCTTACTAATTATTATTTTTTGTTGCAGATATAATTATAGGAGATAAGCATATGTAATAAATATATACCCAAAGTGACTATCTTTAACTGATTATTTAAATACTGGAAAGATGAAGGTCAAAGTAAAATGTGATTCATTGTGGTTTTAAGTAACACCTAAAAGATATATGAAAAGATATATGAAAAAAGATATATAAAGATGGTTATTACTCTCTATTGACTTCTCACAAAGATAAAGTAGAAACTTTCTTAACCATATTCTACTTCTCCATTTCTCTCTCTCTTACCTTCACAAAAGAATATGTTTTTCATTGATTCTAGAGAGAGAGAGAAGAAAGAGATAGAGAGAGAGAGAGAGAGAGAGAGAGAGAGAGAGAGAGAGACATTGGTGTGAGAGAGAAAGAAACTTTCAACCATATTCATTGTCTCCATTTCTCTCTCTCTTACCTTCACAAAAGAATATGTTTTTCATTGATTCTAGAGAGAGAGAGAAGAAAGAGATAGAGAGAGAGAGAGAGAGAGAGAGAGAGAGAGAGAGAGAGATTGATGTGAGAGAGAAACACGGATCGGTTGCCTGCCATACTCTCCCCAAACAAGATCGAACCCGAAGCCTGAAAATGTGCTCTGACTGGGAATCGAATCCAAGACCCAATGGTATGAGACGATGCTCTAACCAACTGAGCCACACTGGACAGGGCTTAACCATTTCTCTTATAAAATATCTTGGCTGAAGCTTAGAGCATTGATCACTAGGCTGTTTGTTAGTATACCCAAGAATTTTGGCATGTTGGTAAATGTTTAGCACCTGGCTCTTTGGGGGGAAAAAGCGCCTGATTTAACAAACTGAACTAGAATAATTTACATCTGTTTTTCAATATCTGGAGATTTGCTATTGGGTTTTGGAATAATGATCCCACTAAGAGTACTCATCTTATCATCTTCGTGCTAGATGAGGCAGCACAGTTATGTTGATACCTGTCACCCTTAGGTTGAAAATCAAGCTCTAATTTTTTTAGAAAACAAACTTCTTAAGGATTGTATTTGTTTATGAAGAAAAGGCAAATTTGGCACTTTAAATGTTAATTATTTTCAGTAATCAGAACAGTGAAAGTAAGTTTTATCATAAATGGAGATTGAACATTTTTCTTAGTATACGAAATTAGTTCTCATTCATGCAAGGAAATAGAAATATTGCACTACATTTACATTCAAGGTTACTTTTTTAATGCAGAGTAACCTAATATTGGCTTGCTGAAAAAAATGCCCATATCTTATTTTGAACAAGCATCATATCAGTGGATTTCATTAGACAAAAAAAAAAATCCCTGAATTTTGTAGAAGCATCTTAGTAGCTGGCTGGTGGAACCTAATTTGTGAGCCAATTATAGCCTTGATAAGGGCCGGCAAACATTTCTTTGAGCCAGTAATCTAAACATAAATATTAAAAACCATATTCTAATTGAAAAATGGTTGAAATACTTTAAAGTGCATGAAAAATGTTTTGCTTACACTTACTGCTCTATTCTTATGTGTATGTCAGTAAGTGAAAATGTAATAACTCAAATATTTTTCAGTTTAAACCTCATTTGGTTTTTCTTATTTAAAAGCTATTATGTTATTTATTTTTTTATTTTTATTTTTAAATTACAGTTTACATTCAATATTATTCTCTATTAGTTTTAGATGTAAAACAGAGTGAAGAACCACTATATTTTATAGGTACCTAATAAATTAAGAGTTCTTATTAATAATCATGATTTATTAGGAATATACATAAACTCTTTTATAAGAATTATTAACTGAACAAGTTTGTTTCCTATCTCAACCCAGACTAGCCATTGAATTCCAGTTGTGTGATCGTGGCTACTTTTATTTGTCCTCTCTGAGCCTCACTTTCCACATTTATAAAATGGGGATAATAAAATCCACCTCATAGAGTTGTGAGGACAAATATTTCTTGTAGGAGAAAGCCTTACCATAGATCCTAGTACATGCTAGGTGGTTAATTAACTGGAAGTTCAAGCGAACAAACCCTAGGGCTCACTGTGTCCTTATCTTACTTGCCCACTCTCTCAGCAGCACTGGACACAATTGATTATCCTCTCCTGTTTGAAACATTTTCTTCATCTCTAAGCTTCTGTGACACAACGGCTCTCCCACTTCACCAGCCATTTCTTCTTAGTCTCTTACATCTGACCTCTAGAATTATAAGAATGCCCTACAGCTTAGCTTGGGGCTCTCTTTTCTTTCGATAACTCTCCCCAAAAATAACCACTTCCAGTCTCAAGTCTTCAAATAATATCATGACTTAAATTCATCACTCTTTATACCTCTTACCTTCTGAGCTCCATAGTTGCATATTCAACTGCTTACTTGACATCTGTACTTCAATATTGAATAGGCATCTCACTTTAACATTTCTAAATCAGAACTCTTGGTTCCTGGGTCCTAAACATCTTTTTTTTTTAATATATTTTTTATTGTTGGTAGTATTACAGATATCTCCCATTTCCCTCCCCTTTACCCCTTCCTCCCAACCCCTACTCACCCCCCCTTCCAGGTCTTCACTACCCTATTGCCCATGTCCATGGACTATGCATATAAGTGTATAAGTTCTTATAATTGAGGTCCTTGAGTTTAAAGTGAGGTCCTTAACTTCTTTTCTCTTAGTGTCTCTCATTATTTTAGATGGCACTACCATCCCCCCAGCTATTCAAGTTCAAAACCTAGGAGACATCTTTTTATTCTTTTCTCACCTTTCACAGTCTCTATAAATGTCCAGCCTTTGTTACCTGTTACCTGGACTATTGTAATAATTTCTCAAAAGGTTTCTGTTTTCATTTTTGAACTTAGCTAATTCACTCAACTCATAGCAAGCAGAGTGATCTTTCTAAAAGGAAAATCAGAGACTTGAAAATTACAAACATGAAATAAATGAAAATCTCATCACATTTTTTTAAAAATATATTTTATTGATTTTTTACAGAGAGGAAGGGAGAGAGAGAGAGAGAGAGAGAGAGAGAGAGAGAGAGAGAGAGAGAGTCAGAAACATCAATGAGAGAGAGACATCGATTAGCTGCCTCCTGCACATCCCCTACTGGGGATGTGCCCGCAACCCAGGTACATGCCCTTGACCGGAATTGAACCTGGGACCTTTTAGTCCGCAGGCCGACGCTCTATCCACTGAGCCAAACTGGTTTCGGCTCTCATCACATTTTGATAGACTTAAAAAGACTTTTATTTTAAAACTTGCGTGTCATATTTCTCTTGACCAGTATACTATAAAAAGAGGTTTCCAAAAAGGACAAATTAATATTCAGAAGGAAAATAAACTGTACCTTAATAGGTGTGTAACACCATTGCATAGAGGAGGTGTCAGCTAGTATTTTTCCTTTTTGTGATGTGTGCTTCCTAATGCCAAAGCTTTTTGTTAAAGTTTACGATTCAGTGGTATTTAGTACCTTTGCTAAGTGGTGAACCATTACTTCTATCTAATTCCAAACATTTTCATCACCCCAAAGAGACTTTTGCTTTTTACTTTTAAAGATAGGCAACAAGCCCTAACCAGTTTGGCTCAGTGGATGGAGCGTCGGCCTGGAGACTGAAAGGTCCCAGGTTCCATTCCAGTCAAGGGCATGTACCTTGGTTGCGGGCACATCCCCAGTGGGAGGTGTGCAGCAGGCAGCTGATTGGTGTTTCTCCTTCATCGATGTTTCTAACTCTCTATCCCCCTCCCATCCTCTCTGTAAAAAATCAATAAAATATATTTTTTAAAAAAAGACCTCCCCCCCCCAGTCAGAGAGCAACAAGTATCACATGATCTTACTCAAATGTGGAATCTAATAAACAAAATAAAATGATGAACAAAATAGGCCCAGAGACATAGAAGCATGAAACAGACTGATGAATCTCAGAGGGAAGGTGGGGTGGGGAGAGAGGAGTGGGTTGGGGGAGTGAGAAGAGACCAACCGAAGAAGTTGTGTTCATATATGCATAATTCATGGATACAGACAGTAGGGTAGTGGAGGCCTGGGGTAGAGGGGGAAGGGTCAAATGGGTCAATGGGAAAAAAGGGGGGACATATGTAATACTTTCAACTATAAAGGTGTTTGTTTTTAAATAGGCAACTTAAAATGCTGAGCTACTTATAGCAACTTCTTTATGCTCCATTTATTAAAAACAACAACACACCAACCTGTTAAAATGTCCTGTGTCTTCACATGGTGGAAGGGACTAGGGATCTCCCTGGAACATCTTTTATAGAGACATTAATCTTATTCATGAGGGCTCTACCCTCATGACCTAAGTACTTCCAAAGGTTCCACCTCCTAATACCATCATTTTGGCGGTTTGGATTTCAACATATGAATTTTGGGGCAGATGTAAACATTCACACCAAAGCAAATGTTGTAAATATAATCATTATAAAAATTAATGAATACTACTAATAACAAACACAATACTAATTTATTGAACATTTATCATGGGCTGATTAGTGTGCTTAGTATTATCAGAAATAAATATCAGAAATGTAAGCATTAAGATATATATTCTTGCCGAAACCGGTTTGGCTCAGTGAATAGAGTGTCGGCCTGCGGAGTGAAGAGTCGCAGGTTCGATTCCGGTCAGGGGCATGTACCTTGGTTGCGGGCACATCCCAGGTGGGGAGTGTGCAGGAGGCAGCTGGTCGATGTTTCTCTCTCATCGATGTTTCTAACTCTCTATCTCTCTCCTTTCCTCTCTGTAAAAAGTCAATAAAATAAAATTTTTTTAAAAAAAGATATATATTCTTTGTTTAAAAAATATAGTAACAGAGTTAGTTTATAATGTGAAAGTGGAAAAGGAGAAAAAAAAGTGTATCATGGTTTTCCAATGTGGAAATATTTTTAATCTTTATGAAGGGTGTATTATTTTAATAATTATAATTGAAGCACATTTTTAAAACTTATGGTGCAAATTTGATTTGGTAGTTTGGGAATTATTTGTTTGTTTGTTTGCTCAGTAGAGGGCATGACCCCCCTGTGTATACTTTTGTTTTTAAATATCCTCTCTAAGACATTCTAAGCAAAGTACTCCTTGCTAAAACTGTAGCCCTTCAGATAGTGCTTCACAATTATTCTATTAATTTATTTTTTCTTAAATGATCACGAGCTATCGTCACATTTCACTTTTACTTTATGTCTCTTCTTGTCCTAACTCTGAGCAGTCAAAAGCAAAAGGCTTCATTTGGAGGAGGCATTCTTCTGAAAGAATACACTAGAATGTATGACAGATACATTCCATATCATGGACAATATTTGAAGTGCTACCTAAGAAATTTTCTTGATCTGTGTATGGCCCTTGAGTTTAAAGTGAGGAGGGTGTCCAATTGGGACTAAATTTATTGGTGTAAGCCCTTTATAAGCTGGGAAGGTTGTTTCATTGAAAATGAAAGGGTTGTATTTATAGACATTAAGACGGAAATAACTTCCTTCTCAGGAGTAAAGCTTCTCACACGTATTTCTGTCGGCTGTCTGTGTTACCTGGAATATCCTGGATGTTTTAGATCATCAGAGTTTTGCTGCCTAACACAGAAATAAATAAGAACATCACCATATCCACTAAATTCTTTAATTTTAATCCCCAATTTCTACTGCTGCTATGAGATTCCTGCTTTTATAGAATTTTTATATTTACCATTAAATTATGATTTGGTTCATTTTGTTCATTGGATGCCACATGTAAGTGAAATCATATGGTACTTGTCTTTCTCTGACTGGCTTATTTCACTTCGCATAATGCTCTCCAGGTCCATCCATGTTGTTCCAAAGAGCAGTGATGGACTCCTAGAGAGAGAGAGCAGTCTGACCACTTTTGGAGGGGAGGGTGGCACTGGGGAGGAGGGGGAGGGATTAAGTAAAAGAGGGGGAAAATGAGAAAAACTCATGGACACGAACAACAGTGTGGTGATTGCCAGGGGTGGGAGGTGGAGGAAAGTAGAAGAAGGTATCGGGGGAATAAATGGTGATGGGTGGAAATTTGACTTGGGGTCAAATATAGTGTACAAATGATGTGTTGTAGAATTGTGCACCTGAAACCTGTATAATTGTGTTAACCAGTGTCCCCCGCAATCAATTCAATAAAAAGGAAAAAAAATTATGATTTGGCATTGACTGGTATATCTTTTTTTCCTCTCCAGTATAAGAAGTATCGCTCTTCTCATGCACACACCAACAACTTTGCAAAGTCTGTGGTCAACCTCGTAGATTCTGTAAGTATCCCGTTTTCTCGAACCTCTGTTTCCAAGGCGAAATGCTTTACATCTCTGTGTGCTTACTTGTTGCTTTAGTTCTTGCTTGAGCAAAAGTGAAAATGCCATCCTTAAGTTCATCTGGCTGAGGAATTATAGGGTGGTCTGCTTCACAAAGAGTAGTGTTGTCAGAGTTTCAGGGGACTGTTGAGTTATTCATGGAATTCCAAAAATCCATGAGAGTTGCTTCTAAGTGATGTCTGGACCTCATTGTCTCCGGAGCTTAAGGGGGACAAAAATCCTGGAGAAAATTAGCTACCAAGAAGAGTGTCAATTCAACCTGACAAAGGAGACTTTGTTCGTAATAATCAATTGAGCTTATTGACTTAAACATATCGCAGAAGCACTCTAATAGATTGAGGTGGACCGTGTTTGAAGGGTATAGGAAATACAAAAATAAATTTTTTAAAAGAACTCAAATTTATCTTCTTACTGTTCCTTTAGTAGAATGTTTCAGACTTCATTTCCAGGTGACAGAATTAAGTGTGTCCCCACACAAAACAGATTTGAAACAGTAAAATACACATCTCCTTACAAAGACCTCAAACTAAAAACTTTTATGTTGATAATTTTTTCTCTTACTTTGTAAATTACAGGGAATGATGGTTAAGATTTTCTTGCTTTTTCCTGTTAGGTAGGCACTCCGTAGATGTGAATATTATTCATTGTGTCCCAATAAATTGCTCATTAGACTAGTCATCAATTAAAGATAGCATACTACTTTGTGTATTCCAATGTTAAGTGCTATTTTGTCCAGCTAAATATATTTTTATCTGATATTTATTGTTATGTTCCCTCTTAACTAGGGGGGAAAAACCTTTTTATAAATTGCCGAATACTTAAATGATACTTATTTTCTCCAAAGAACTGCTTTCTTTTCTGCCCTTTAAACAGTCCAAAACCCCCAACCCTATAAAGACTCATAGCCTAGAATGCCTGGTAGGCACAGCTGGAGGGGCACAGAGTGTCGTATGGAGTTAGGATTGAAATTCTGAAAGCCACTTTGTACCTGGTTTCCTTTAATTTCAGCTCTTGTCAGTCTTCTGAGAGGAAAATTATAAGTGAATATGGAAATGAGAATATTAAACACACCTTTCCCCCTGCCAAAGCTGTTTACTTGGCAGCATTCCTCTGTTAGTCATTTCAGCATGATTGAACCGAATCACATCTTGCGAAGTGTAATTTGTATTTTGGATTGCCATATAAGGTTCTGAAGCTGAACAATTGATTTTGAAAAGACATTACATTTCACTTGCTCCTTGTAGAAATCATTTCTGCTTCAGGTTGATTTAGGCATGCTGCGACTCCCGCTCTGCAGTGTGTTCAAAGGTCAGCCGTTATTTTCTTAATTAGCTTGGAAATAGGACAAAATGACAACATTCATTGAAATTGCTTAATTATGTGAATTATTTAGCTACGGGGCCTGAAGTAGAGAAAGGGAGTGGAGAGACACAATGGAAACGCTGTGAGTGATGCCACCCTGTGGTGAAGGTGAAATGGTGATACAAATCTGCTCTTTCCTCTCTGGCCTGGGCTCTGGGATTCTTTCCCAGTGCTGTTTTACTTTTCATTCCACAAAGCGTCCAAGGGCAAGCCAGCCATGCGGCTGGTGCTTATCCAAGGATTTAGTGATCTCTTCCAGTCTTGTAGGAATAACTGGTCATACTGCACTACCCAGGGCTGATGAATTTGGTTCCAACCTGTTACCTCCTATGAGGTTTGGGAGGGTGTTTTTTCTGAACCCTGTTTTGAATTTATATCCAGGCTTTAGAATCTTGACATCCCTCCCATCTATCCTGAAGTGAGATGCCTGGCCACTAACGGTGCTGATTTCAGATGAAAACAATCTTATAGGAGAGGCCAAATTGTGTGATTGTTCATTGTTATTGTTGCTTTTGGAAAATGGAAAGGAAATGAAGATTCTCTTGAATGAGCCAATTATGACCTCGTGTTCTCCTCTCCCCTCCCCTCCCATCTTCCCGCCGACTCCGAATCACTGATGGTGCACGTTTGACCCAGTGTTTTCCTCCTGCACCTGTCCTGTTGTGTCCCCTCAGATTTACAAGGAGCAGCTCAATACCAGGGTTGTCCTAGTGGCTGTGGAGACCTGGACTGAGAAGGATCACATCGACATCACCACCAACCTTGTGCAGATGCTCCACGAATTCTCCAAATACCGGCAGCGTATCAAGCAGCACGCCGATGCGGTACATCTCATCTCGTATGTGCCCACCATCTTTGGTTTGACATTTGTCTTTATCCCTTTATTTTATGAGTTAAGTTCTATATCAATATTTCGATTTTGTACAAGACTGATGTTGAGCCCTAGGTGGTTTGGCTCGGTGGGTAGACCGTCGGCCTGTGGACTGAAAGGTCCCAGGTTCGATTCCAGTCAGGTTTACATGCCTGGGTTGTGGGCTTGATCCCCAGTAGGGGGCATCCAGGAGGTGGCCGATGGGTAATACTCTCTCATCATTGATGTTTCTACCTCTCTCTCTCCCTCTCCCTTTCTCTCTGAAATCAATAAAAATATATTAAAAGACAAAAAGAGAGTGATGTTGATTCCTCTCTCCATTAAATGAGAAGCATGGGGGAAGGCTGTCTGGTGCTGGGAGGCTGCTGGTTCCATAGTCATTAGATCTACCTTCAAAGCATATCCCTACCTTCAGACCTTCCATCCACAAGGTCACCTGGTTGCTGGTGCTCCAGCCTTTATTACAGGGCAGGAATGATGGTCCTGGAGGATTGTAAGAAGGCATGCCTTCCCGCTGAACTAGTTCCTTTGAAGCAGATTTCCTGAAAGCTTGCACACATTAGTGTCACCAAGAAATCATTTGTTAATTTTTTTTTTTTAATCCTCACCTGAGGATATTTTTTCCATTGATTTTTAGAGAGAGTGGAGGGGAGGAAGGGGAAGAGAGAGAAAAAAAACAGAAACATAGATGTGAGAGAGACACATCAATTGGTTGCCTCCCACATGTGCCCCAACTGTGCTGGGGATGAACCCTGGACTGGCCATCGAATCTGAGACTCTTTGGTGAGCGGGCCTAAGCTCTGTGTTGAGGAACACAGGCCAGGGCTGCTAAATCTTACGCATATGGCCATATTGAGCTGCAAGAGAGGCTAGGAAATACAGACTTTTCAAGTGAATTATTGAATAAAATTGAACTATCACGGAGGAACAGAGGTACCATATTTTCTGGTGTGTAATAGGTGTTCCCCACATACGATGAGGCTGTTTTCGGACAGTTCTCTAAGGTTCTCTCCTGGGATCAAACTAATGAAAGTTTCCTTCCTTTCCTCTCACCTTTACTGTTTACTTTCTTTTCTTCCAGTCTTTAATCAACATTTTGTAATAATCAGCAATATTTTTGTATAACTACTAGATAGTCTCTATTGGAAGAAAATCAAGAGTTTGTGTTCTCAATTCCTGAGTTCGTACATGATGCTCAGTTAATATTTGCTCAACTGAGATTATTAACATAACATAAATTTAAAGGTTTTTATGACAGCATAAATTTCAATGTTTTTAAAATGCAGTTTTTGATTATTGTGAAGGAGGATGATTTGGGGGTGTTCAATGTAGGAGAGTAGACATGTTTGGGGAGAGCTTATGTGATGGTCACTACATTGGCTTCCTAATACCGATTTTCTTCCTTAAGGCGCGTGACATTCCACTATAAGAGAAGCAGTCTGAGTTACTTTGGAGGTGTCTGTTCTCGCACAAGGGGAGTTGGTGTGAATGAGGTAAAATTTGACAGTGTTCTTAAAGTAGAGCTTTATCTTTGCATCTGATCTGATCCCCCTCCCACCCCGCCCCGTGGCCCAGTTTATATCCTTCCTCAGGCCTGTGTAGAATGATAATGATGAGAATACAGTATGAATGTTTATATTAATAAATAAACCTTGTAAGAAAAGAGGTATTGTTTCATTTTATAATGATAGTTTTCCTTTTTATCAGGCAAGTATAAGCCAAAGAGGGTTTTTTGGCCTCTGTAGATACATTTTTACAAGCTTGTTAATCCCTTACAATTATTTTTGAAAATTATAATGCTCTTTTGCTCAAGTTAGGTTTAACTCATTTATATGAAAGAATTTGTGATTGTATCTACTCAGCATCTCTGTTTTGTCCCGATGTATTTATTTTATATTTATGCCTTCTACCTACCTATCTGTAGAAGTAATTGAAGCAATTATTTCCTTAATCTCAGTATCTTCATTTATGTAAAGAAAATTCTGATAACAGTTGGCAGTAGCACCCAAAAAGCCGAACCAACTGTATCTAAACCTTGAGTCATACCAGAGTATTCCAGCTTATCCTCATGACCATCCTTCAGTGGAGTCCTCTTGACATGCTTCTAGGAAGTTGAATTTATTCTTGGTTTGATATGAGTTGAGTTGGGGCACAGCCTTTTATGACTTGTATGTTACATATCATGTGAGAGGAGAGCATAAGGTTTGGAGAGGTGCCATGCAGTAACAGAGGCTTTCTGCTTCCTGGGCCCAGTTGCCAGGAAGAAGTGATAAAGGAGCAGATGCTGCTTTCCGATGCTATGAGGCCCTTAGGGAACTGAGATGTTACATGGTGATGATGAAGAAATAATAACTAGTTTTGTGCACTCTCTCAAATGTTTCCCACACACTTTCAACTCTGAAAAACAGTATGGTCTTCCAATGGCAGTGGCACAAGTATTATCGCAGAGCCTGGCTCAAAACCTTGGAATCCAATGGGAACCTTCTAGCAGAAAGCCAAGTATGTACACCGACCTTCTTACTCACTTGCATGTCTGTGTAATGCATGACCAGTTAACAAATACAGATGCTTCTTTTCTAAGTCCTTGTAGCTTAATTGTAGTGTATCTCCTTCCTCCAAAACAAGGATAAGATGAGCAACTCAAGGTAATTCTTATTATGTTTGGGTTGTAGAAATGTCTTTTTCTCAAAGTCCCCCAAAGCATACTCACTTTCTCAGAGTGTGATCAGCGTTCTCATACTGTGGAGTGTTGGGGGTGGTGACACCTCACCCTTTGGGTTCTAACCACCTGAGTATAGACACACGATGCCCCAGGGGGCTCCATCACTAGTTTAATAAGAGTACAGGTGGATCAAGAAATAGCTTAGATTCAGAGTCAAAAAGGAGTTCAAACTCAACTTACCTACCTACCTACCTCTAATTAAATTCACCCACCAGTCCTAGCAAGAAACGATAGAGAAGCCTCCTGGACAGGAGGCCCTGATCCAGGGCCTTGTGAGCATGGGGGCAGGTGGTAGAGGATATACTCTAGTGGGCAGGCAGGGCCGAGAGGAGTGCAAACAGAGCCACAGATCCGAGCTGGTAGGAAAGTGCAGCCAGTGCCTGGGGGGTGTTCCTCTGGTTGTTGATCAGAGGAGAGGTGGATGGAAAGGCAGACCTGAGTTTCCAGTGACAGAGTGTCTAAGGCCCACAGTAGTGTTAGGGGTCCATGAAAAAATTTAATTTCTTTAAAAATCAGAATAAAATCCACTGTAGATTATATTCCTCTTTATACCAACACGATGATAAAATATAATTTCTAATACATTTTGTGGTAGAAGGCAAAAGTGCCCAGGACTCACACAATGTAATCCCATGTAAGGAAAGACCAAGGTGTTTGCTCAAATTATTCTCTTACTTCGGAATGAAACGGAAGTTTCTTTCCCCTGTGAAAATATCAGACACCAGGCGTAAACATTCCCGCTCCCCAACCTCCCCAAAGAAGGAAATAGTGGAAATGTACCTTAACGTTTACATTCGATAACTTTTTGACTACTATCAAATAATTGTCCTGAATGCATGGTATTATGGAAACTTGAAGTAAATATCCAGGAGCTTCTCGATGCTCTCGATGGGCATCACATTCTGGGTATGTTAAGTCCAGTGGCACTTGTCTCCAGACTTGCACTTATCAACATCTTGCTGAGTGTATTTGCTTTCCCAAGAAAACAGTCCGCACCAAAGGAGGATCAGCAGCTGCCTGGATGCCTTAAAGCCAGAAGGAGTAGGACCAGGTTTCCCACCTTAATTGAAAACCCTGAAGCCAGGAAGAGGCCAGTGCTGGGGTCAGCTGAGAGGTGGTACTGAGTTGGATGATGGGACAGGGTGAGAAATAGTGTTCATTAGTGCCTGGCACAGTTCCTTCCTTCCTAAAATTCTTAATTCCTTTGTGAATTGTTTGTTTAGCTAGATAATTATTAGTTTTGAGCTTTTGATGATAAAAAAATCAATTTGGGAGTCTTTCTTTAAAATTATGATAGAAAAGAGAATAGGGAAAAATAAGTGACAAGAATAGCCCCTCACAATATCCATATGTCAGTCTTTGGTATCTATGCTAATGATGGTTATTTAATGTAAATGATTATCTTCATGTCTGTTTTAGATGGCTCTCTCTTACCAAACCGTTTAGCATAGCGTTCTTCAAGTCTCTGGCCGATCCCTGTTCTGACCATAGCAAATTGGACTCTTTAACTTCCAGTATGCTCTGGGAGCAAGACGGCGATGATGGCTCATTGCATTTGTGCTGTAGAGCAGTGCATTGGACAGAGAGCTCACAGGTCACCACGTCATGTGAGCCCCAGGACCACCCTGGCATCGAAGCAGAGAGACACCTTCCCCATTTTAGAGGTGGAAACACTGAACCCCAAGACATGTTAAGTCACTTCCCTATGGGACCCTTTCACCAAGGAGAACTGGGATCACAGCTTTCTGTGGTCCAGACCAGGGTACTTTCCATTCAGCATTGGAACGAGGAATTTAATTGAGTTCTCCGCGTTACAATAACGAGGAGAGGCACAATTGTATTTCTTGCTGGCTGTTAGGAGGTGACCTTTACTTCTGGAAAGAATGAAGACGTATTGATTTAAAGAAAGTCGATTTTGCTCTGTGAGACGTCACTGTCTGTACCTGGGAGTGGAATTAGAATTAAGAAATTATTGAAGAGCTGTAATGCAAATGACAGATGTGACTTTCGTTGATTCTCTTTTCTTCTGTTGCTTTGTTTCTTTGGACTAGAATGTGACTGCACAGAATCCTGGGGAGGCTGCATAATGGAGGAAACAGGGTAAATTTTCATATACGTGCGTTTGATGAATGTCTTTCACTGCAATTGCTGCATATAATTAGATATACAATCTCTCGGTACTGGCCTTTTAAGCTAAGCACTTAGTATAAATTCAATAATTAATTATCTGATATTTTAAAAATGAAAGGACTAATTTACTTTATGTTTTAATTTTTTATTTAAAGTTGATGATCAGTGTAAGATATAGTAACTACTTCTACATCTATTAACCCTTAAAGATAGCACAGTATTAAATGCTTCTAAGTTTAATAGAGATATTAATTTTTCAGTACACTTAGAATAAAAGCTGGTTGTCTACCTAAAGCAGTCAGTGAAAACCTATTTAGTCATCAATTTATATCTTAAGGAACTCGCCAATAGATATGTTGCTGTAATAAAAATTGTACTGTACTGCTTATATAACCAATAAATTTTTTTATTATTATTAAGACAGATCGTGTCTAAATTAGGTAGTCTTCTACTGATAGACATTTGAACATTTCCTCACCTACCTCCTCTCTGTTCCAGAGTTGCCAAGGCCTGGAAACATTGTCCTCTTTCCCAGGGACCCTTCCCCCAGGGCAACCTCTGTCCCAAGGCCCCTAAGCTAGAATCTTCTCCTTATAGATGGGAGAGGTTTCTCACCCTTGTGCCCCTCCTACTTCTTGGCCCCGTTCCCAACATCTGCTCAACACATCGGCCATTTCCAGTGCTACCCCCATCCCTAAGCGCCCCAGTTGCCAGAAACCTGAGCTGTTTGGACAGAGACCTTTCCTTATTCTCCCACCAGGAGTTCAGCTCATAAGACAGAGTTTGAGCATGAGGGTTTGCAGGGGGAGCCAGCCATTCTGCCTGCTATTTTAGAACACGGAAATGGCATAGCCCCTTGCTGTTGAACCACAGTTTAGTAATATTACGGCTTTTAAGCAGGCTTTTTGGAGGATTGCTATAGGAAAGTAACACTACTTAGAGTGTTCTCTATAGGTTCTTATAGGATCTCTAGGTCGGTATCTAAACTCCCAATTTCAAAATGGACTTTTTTCTTTTTATTAAGTTCATTGGGGTGACATTTGTTAATAAGATTGTATAAGTTTCAAGTATAAATTTTTATGATAGGTGATCTTCATATGGCATTGTGAGCCCACCATCCAAAGCCAAATCATCTTCCGTCACCATGTATTTGATCCCCTTTAAATGAATTTTTTGAGACTACATATAGGATATGATAAAACTGACATTAATATTTATTTTTTCAAGTACACATTTCTGTGTAGTTCTTGTAAGAGATCACTGTCAACAATGGCAGATTTCACCTTCTTCCATACACTGCCCTCATATATCAGGATACAGAGAATTATTGGATTACCTCCTGGCATAAGTGGCCTCTCAAATTTCAAATCAAGTACTATTACAAATATGCTCAAGGAATTAATGTGCGTGATTTAGTTTAACCTTGACTATGTGTATAACATTCCCCTATGTACTGACTGACATAGAGATAGTAATTTGATTAATCAAATCATAGAGGAGCTCATATTGTAATCCTACTAAATCATGAATGTCACCTAATAATAGTATTTGTGATTGAGAACAGGGAGCTATTATTCACAGGAGCTTACCCTAATTCTGTTTGTATTGTGTGTATGTACACTAAAAGCATATATGCATGTACACACAGATATATATGGCCTAGTACATTCTTTTAGGGTTTTCTTGTTTACAGGAATTGTTTTGTGGAAGCTTGCATTATACAGTCATTAATAATTGACCCTTACAACTCCCTCCTCAAAATATAAAAAAATCCAGTGGGTTCCTGAGGTCTTTTTATTCAGGACAGAGGCAAAAAAGTGCCTACCTTTACTGAGACAGAGCAAATAAAAATGACCACACTTTAAAGTACAGGCTTAACGAAGAAGTTTTGTGATGAGCTTTTCAGAAAGTCTTTGAAAGCCAGGCATGGAAAAGCTTGGATGCTGAGGAGGTTGTCCCCTAGCCCCCAGGTTATTTTTATAAACTCGATCACACATACTTTGCCGATTTGAACATAAGAACCTGTCAAAATTTGTGTAGAATCATCTGAGTCCACAGTGAACATTTTGTTCTAAATTCAGGGTTTTAATTTTCTTCTCCGATGACTTCTTTTGGGAAGTTATTTACATAATTGATTCTTTATTTCCTCAGGGTATCCCATTCCAGAAAATTCTCAAAGTGCAGCATTTTGGAATATAGAGACTTTTTACAGAGAGGGGGTGGAGCCTGCCTTTTCAACAGGCCAACAAAGGTTAGTAACTTAGGAAGTGTAATTCTCTCTCTCTCTCTCTCTCACACACACACACACATAATGGAACAGTGCCAAGTATCAGATACTTGTCTTGGAAAGCAGCGTTGTTGTCAGTAAATTAATATTTAGTTACCAAATGCTTTCTCATGTTGAAAACTGTTTAAATGAACTATAATTTTACTGTTCTGAATCTGTTTTTTAGCGCTAGCTGCTGCACCCTCTCCCCGAAACAGTCTTGTAATTAAAATATATTTGAAATTTCAGATTAGGGTTTTTACCCTGCTACTAAGAAATAGTGGATTGCATTAAGATATATTGCTTTAATTTATTTCTCTGACAAGAATTCCATTTGGCCTTAACATTCTCTCTAGGGGTATAACTAATGTCTTGGCCCTCTCCGCCCCTCCCCATCCCTTCTCTTCCCTTTCCCTTCCCCTCTTCTTCCTTCCCTTCCCATCCCCTCCTCTCCTCCCTCTATCCTTCCATCCATCCTATTTTTCTTTTTTTAAAAATATATTTTTATTGATATTCAGAGAGAGGAAGGGAGAGGGATAGAGAGACAGAAACATCAATGAAAGAGACACATTGATTGGCTGCCTCCTGAACAGCCCCCTATTGGGGTCAGGTCAAGTCAAACCGAGGACCTCTTGGTCCATGGGTCAGTGCTCAACCACTGAACCACCCCACCGGCCTTTCTTCCTTTCCCTTTCTCCCTCCCTCCCGCCTTCCCTCCTTTTTTTCCTTCCTTCCTTCCTCTCTCTCATAGTCTATTCTCCCAGAAAAGAAGCATTTCTAACATCAGAGAGCAAAAAAACTGGGCCAAGTATTTATGGATTCCATTAACACATATATGTTATATTACACAGTCCCTTTACTTGGGAAGGTCCACATTGTCAATTGACATTACATTGAAGTTCATATATACAGTGTCATAATCCCTTATCCACAGATTCCTTCATTCAAAAGCTCTGAAAACTGGAAGATTTTTATTAGTTTGCAGAAGACACAATGGACAGTGACACTTGTCCTGAACTGAAAATCTTTATCCCTCATAGTGTGAACATTTGTAAGTCTTGCTGTGGAAATATTAATGTGTTTGATTATAGGGCATCCAACAGGCCCCTCAGGGTTATTACATGGAACATGGTAAATGCATCATACTTTTCTAAAATCTAGAAAAGCCAGAATCCTCAAATTCACCAGATATAAAGCTTTTAGCATGGGACTACAGACCTATAGTAATATGTTTGGAAGAAGTTGCTCAACAGACAAAAAGACAGGGTTGGTGCTAATTAGCAGATGGTATAGACATTCTAACATTGCACATTTCATATTTCCTTTAAGTCAAAACAAGTCCATTGCTATACAAAGTGTTTAACACTCTGCAAATTGAGAGAGCAGTGAAATCATGTTAGCCTTTTAAAAAAATCAGTACTAATGTGGGTAACTGACAGAATAATTTATTCCTATCCCCATAATTAAGTGATACTACTATAGCCAGGGGATGGTAGTTTGATGCCTGACATTTGTATAGAATCTCAGTAAGGCTGCAGAAAAAGAAATAGGAATTTTAAAGTGAACTTGCATCATTAAAACTTGGCTGCCTGCCTTTTATGACATTCATCTCAATGCAACAGAAACCTGACAACTCCAGAATGTATAAAATGGATGCAATGAGTAATGATGAATTAATGTGAGCAACTAGTATTTTGAATACAATGCATGTGGCCAATTTTACCTGCCTTGCAGCTCACCAACTAATTATAAGCATCACACGTGAGGCAACAACACTGAGTTGTTGGGAAAGGTTAAGATTTTGAGTGTGTGTATAAGCATCCATCACTAGATGTCTGACATTGCCTGTGAGTGGAAAGAAAATGATTCCAGTAAGCTGGAAACTTAAAAGTAACCATCTACCTTTAATTTTAAAAGTTAGTAAGTATGAAATTGTTTTTCTCTGAAAACGTCATATTAGCATGTTTTGTAAAAAGCCCCTTTGGATTCCAGTGAAAGAGTTTTTATGTATGTAACAAAGAACTGACTTTGTCCAAGTGTTTTCAGTCAATGACTGTGTGGATGCATGTTTTATGTGTTTTTACATGACCTGTGTGCATCTTTTCTGTGCCGTGGGAACCTTCCCCAGGCCATGTGTCCCATGTGCTGTGCCACAGTGACCTGTCTCAAGAGGAGAGTCCTAAGGTTACATGTTCCGGTCTGCCCTTCCCTTTTCCATTTTCTCCTGCTTGCTGATCAAAATACCGCAGGCATTAGGACTGTTGATTTCAGTCATTGGACTTGCCCGCTGCGGAGTCCCACCCAAGTCTCCTGGAAATCTTCCTTGTTTCTTATAATAGTTCTCCTTCCTGGAAGCGGAAGGGGGATCAGATCTTTCTCAGGTGGACGCAGTGGAAGCCACCCCCGGCTTGGGTGTGTGATGTTGGTGGGGAAGGAGTCTCTTTCTCCCTCTCCTACTCATGGCTCTGAGATTTGGGATGGGGTGTGCTGGACATGCACAGAGAAATCTTGCCCAGGTTAAAAGAAGTAGGAATGGTCCCCATAGACAATCAACTGCCTCCACAATTGGTTGCAATAGTGTTTATCTGGTGAGCAAGTTCATGGCATCAGAGGGTGGTTTATTGCAGACATTTGACTCTTCATTGCTCCTGGAAGGACCTAGAGATTTCTGTACATCCATATGTATGGCTGCGTATGTACTTAATATGCTTCAGGCAGTATGGATTTATTTTCAATGAGAATGATGGGAGTGGATTTCCAGCCACATTTTATTCTAAGCTTATTTGTGTTTGCTTGATTGTGTATATCACATTTGGCTAGACTGAAACATTTTTATCCTTTTGACAATTTTGATGTCTTCTCAGCTGGCTTGAGATAAGTCAGCAAATTAGATATATGAGCCTTCTTAGCAATGCACCTTTGCTCCATTAGGAAAGATGAGAAGTGATCCATTCTTGTTGACAGCTTATCTCCATAAAAAGTAACTGTGATGATGGAGGTCACCTCTGGAGCCCACCACCATAGAATCCTCCAAGAGATATTGCCCCATTTAAAACATGGGTTTTAGCCCTACCGGTTTGGCTCAGTGGATAGAGCTTTGATCTGCGGACTGAAGGGTCCCCGGTACCCGGGTTGTGGGTTGATCCCCAGTAGGGGGTATGCAGCAGGCAGCCGATCAATGATTCATCATTGATGTTTCTCTCTCTCTCCCTCTCCCTCTCTCTCTCCCCCTTTCTCTCTGAAATCAATAAAAATATATTAAAAAATAAAACATGGGTTTTATAAGTATTATTAATAAGTGAACAGTGTTTCACACACAGGCATCATTTATAAGATGCCATTGCATCTTATAAATCACAAGAGAATATCATGGGGTACCTGATTGAAGGGCTGTATATGGGGCCTGATTGGTCCACACAGGCATCATTTATAAGATGCCATTGCAACAGATCACAAGAGAATATCACGGGGTAGCTGATTGAAGGGCTGTATATGGGGCCTGATTGGTGTGCTGATTTTCTGTGATAAATTAAAATGTTTTTCCTTTCTCTCCCTAATGGCCTCAGCTGTTTGAGCCCACAGAATGTGGAAATGGATACGTAGAAGCTGGGGAGGAATGTGATTGTGGTTTCCATGTGGTAGGTATAAGAGTTCTTTTTTACCTTCAGCACAGCACCTACGCAGAGCAAACACGAATAGCATTAGTGAGACGCCTGCAATATCATTCACTGTGGTCTCGCGGCCTTTCTTTCTGATCTTGCTCATCAATGCTTAATCCCAGCTCAGACACAGCATTAGAATTAATCATGTCCTTATGGCCCTGTCTGAGAAAACCTCGTGGGTCCTTCTAATCAAATTCCCTTCCTCTTAAAAATTCATAGCTCACAGTTACCCCAGACAGGTTTTACCAAATCACAAAACAGTCTTTCTGCGTTGTGTATTATTTTTGTCTTTATAAAATTAGATTGAGTATTCAGAATGTATGCTTACTATTGTATGAATCCCCTCGTCTGGATTATGCCTAAGTCATACGTGGAGAGAATGTTGAATGGACCAGTGGGGAAGCGTCCTGACTTACTCACGGGAAGTGCTTTTTCTAGGAATGCTATGGTTTGTGCTGTAAGAAGTGCTCTCTCTCCAATGGGGCCCACTGCAGCGATGGGCCCTGCTGCAACAATACCTCATGTCTGGTGAGTTTCCTGACAGCTTCATCATTCTTTTCATTGACATATGGGCCAAATATCTCAATGTATACATTTAAAAAAATGTAGTCCTTCTAAAATAAACATTAAGAGTTGCCCTGTTAACGCAGATGAAAACCAGGTTAGATGGTTGAATAGAGGAGGGACAGTTCCTGTGGTCTTTTTATTTTAGACTCTGAGCATAAAAGCTAGTGCTCATAGTTTTACACGTGGCTTTTTAAATCCCCTACCAAGGGAAAAAAGCTAGATAAGGAAGTCATGTATGAATGTATGTCAATGTGTGTGTAGACACATAGTTACTTCTACCTATAGAGACCAGTTAACTTTTAAAAAGTCCTTTAAAAAATATTTTCTTTTCTCATCTATAAAAACCTCTAATATTCCTTTTACCTATAGAATTACATAATTTGATCATTTTATTCAATATTAATGGGTATTATACTGCCGGGGTCCAGCCCCAGCGGTCCAGGGGTTCCCAAAGGTGTGGACGGAGTCAGCGAAGAATGTTTTACACGGAGACAGCATTCAGAACTCTCTAGCTCTCTTTAGTCTCCGTGGATCTTCCTGTGCCTGGCTGAGGCCACAGAGAAAGATCCCCAGGCAAACTGAGCCTTTATTTTATAGTCAGAGGTAAACAAGGTAGTGGTTACCAAAGTTACACTGTTCTTGTGAGTTTCACTTGTGTACACTGTTTGTGAGTTTCACTTGTTTTTGTTTTTGTTCTTGCTCTTGCTGCAGTTCCCTCAGCCCATTAGCTTCCCAGATAAGATCTAGGGATCCTTATTAGGTGAAGCCTAATTATGCTTAAGAGGACTATGCCCTCTAAGCTGGGACTTATTTGTGACTTTGCCAACAGGTCAGGCCGAGGTTTAACCCTATAGCGGCTCCCCACATTATACATATGGTATTCTAGAGGATTCCAGCTTAGTTTATACTCACTTTATGTCCCCTACCAGGTTATAAATTGCTTGAAGGTAATTCGTTAATCTTTTACTTATCCCCAATCAGACCAACCAAATGCCTTGTATACAGTAGGCATCCACTGGTGTTACTGAAGGGAACCATTGACATTTGATTGTATGTATTTAGTTAAAGCAAGATAAACATCCAAGTTCATAAAGTTAATTAGTAAACATTGGGTGGATACATAAACCTCCAGAGAAATCTTAAATGTTTGTATTTTAGTGTTTTGTCGCTCTTTTGTCTCTAGCCACACCAGTGTTTCTTCTTTACATAGGTGCCATTACATTGTTTTTTAAAAATAATACTCTGAGACAGTGGGTTTTGAAATCCAAACATTTACTGTCTTGGTTAATGATTCATATTTACTACAAAGAGTGAGAAATGGGCCTTGCCTTCATTCTGCACCTACCTTGCTAATTCATACGAAGAGTTTGGTGATGGTTGTGCGAGAGTACCAGAATGACTGGTGAACATCAGAATGCTAACTCTAAGAAAGGTTAATTAATACTAGCTGCTAACATTGGATTTCAATTTGCAGTTTCAGCCAAGAGGATATGAATGTCGGGATGCTGTGAATGGGTGTGATATCACCGAGTACTGTACTGGGGACTCAGGCCAGGTATGGCAAACTGAGGTTTAGGTAATACATTTTACGTGTAAATGCACATTTTAAAGCTTTCCATTTGGATTACATGTGTGAATATGCTTTGGCCCCTTTGTTTTTTGTTTTGTTTTCTAGTAGTTTTCCCTGCCTGCCTTTATTTTAGGAATCTCTTTTTCTTCCAAGTTTCCTTTTCATAATTAGTTCCCTTTATATGGTTTATACCCAACTAATTGATTCTTCTTTCTTGGTCCCCACATCGAAAACACTAATGAAGCACTAATGTACTGTTTACAAACATTTTTAAGCCACAGAACCCCGTTTTTTTTAAAAAAACCCACAAAATTTTGGATGGGAGCCCAAGATAGAAAGCAGGAAGCAAGCAGCACTGCTCTGGGTGAAGTGGGACTGGGAGCAGGAGTCCTGCCCTCTCCGCTCTGCACCTGTCTGGTGGCGTGGCCGATGTGCTTTGGCGTGATCGTCTCACATTAAAATTATTATAACATATAATTAATGTTGACTTGTAGCATTCCTTCTTTATGTAATTTGTATGCTTTTAAACATTTTTGTTATGTTATTCCAAGTCTTTGTCATTCATATGAACATTTTTTGAGCACCTACTATATGGCAGGCACTGCTGTAAAAGTTGGGATGTGAGAGGGGTCACAATGGACAAGTGCTTGCTCTTCTGGAGCTTACATTCTGCTCAGTGGAGAAAAGCAAGCGAGTGAACAAAAATACCAGCGGTGGTAAGAGCTAAGCATAAAATAAGGCGATGTGCGAAAACTGAGGGAGTGGGGGTTTTAGGTGGAGTGGTCGGGTATATTTTCTTGGAGGGGTAGGCATTTAAGTAGAAACAGCTAAGAAGGAGCTTGGCAGAAAGCAGCAGGTACAGGAGCTTGGCTTCTTCAAGAAAAAGAATGAAAGAGAGGAGATGCGTGGGAACATTCAGAGAGGAAGCCAGGAATCAGGACAGGTAGGAACTTGGTAAGAACTCTAGATTTCACTGGACCTTCATATTCATTCTGACATCACTTAAAAGCATTTTCCCACACCATGACATATTTATTACATAAAAATCCTTTGTATGGTTGCATGAAAGCCTGTCATGTGTATTAGTTGATTTCTGTATCCAGTGGTGGATTTTTAGCAACTTTTTAGAATTAGAATTAATATGACAGTGAATACCTTTATGCATTTTTAAGACTGTTTTCTTGTTGGGAGTTAGCTAATTAGGGTAAGTTTCTAGGAGTAGAGTTACCTATTGCCAGGTTTTGTGCTATCCAAGGAGCTACCAATAAATAGAGTACAGATGGAGGCCAGAATATAATTTTTGTTATTGAAACTGGCCAAGATAAAAGTCATAGCTTAGTGTGAGGCTAAATGGGCCACTTTATAGATCCCAGGTTCAGGCTGTAGAACAGGTAATTGAGAAAATTGGGTCTGGAGTGGCCTCTCCCTGCAGAGCCTGGCCTTGCCTTACATGTCATGTAGAGAGAGTATGATTTATGTGAGTAGGCAAGAGAGAATGGCAGAACTGAGCCAGAATGCCCAATTATTCCTCTCTAGTTTATCAACCAGTCAGCCACTCTACCTGCTGGGGAAGAAGTGAATAAAGAGCAGAGAGTGGCTGGAGTTACACTGAATTTCCTTCACTGAAAGGACTAGAGGAGAGGGAAACAAAGGTTCCTAATTGATCTCTTTGAAAGTTCTCAATATATATCATGAGACTCCATCCAAATGGACCCTTGTAAGGATATGGTACACTTGAAATGTGTTCAGGCTGTTCTTTTATGATTTTTCTGTGCATCTCTTTTTTTCCCCTTGTATATTTTTATTGATTTCAGAGAGGAAGGGAGAGGGACAGAGAGAGAGAAACGTCAATGATGAGAGAGAAACATTGATTGGCTGCCTCCTGCACCCCCCACACTGGGGATCGAGCCCAAAACCCAGGCCCTATGCTCTGACCTGGAATTGAACCATGACCTCCTGGTTCATAGGTCAATGCTCAACCACTGAGCTGGACTGGCCAGGCCGTATCTCTTTCTTATATTTAATATTGTAAATTGGATTCTTTGTAATTTTCTTATAATATAGTGGCAAAGTATAAGAATTGTGGACTCTATGTTTCATGGCAAGTGTATTGACATTCATGAATTACTGTTCCACTGTGTTATATTTTTAGTTTTATAGGATAATACTATTTTTATACCCATCATATATTGTTTTGGGTCTGTATTATATTGTATTTAGCTGCTCTTTTTATTAGTATGTTTTTTTCCATTTCAACTTTTAATTCCTGAATTGCCATAGAATTTACCAGAAATAAGGCTTTTATAATAAGGGCTCTGTGGTCAACTGAATATTTTATTGTCTAAATTTTTTAAAATGTTCTTTTTAATCTCATGTATCTAAGGTAAAAACTGTACTGTTAATTTCTCAGTGGCATCTTAGAATAACATGTTCTGTTACTAGTAATTTCTTTATATGACCAGAATGAACCTGAAATAGATCACTGGCGGAAAAAGAGTTAAGTGCCCTCAAATTCTTTGGCTTTGTAAAAGGCAGAAAACTTTGAATTTAATTGATATTAATAATGATTAAGAAATGGTGACCTCTGAGAATTTCTGCATCTCTGAGAATCAGTATTATTGGCAACATTATGACTTTATCTCTTTTATCTCATAGTATGTTTTTGCTTAATTTTGATATTAGCATTAACTGATGCCTTTGAGCTACTTTTATTTTTATTTATTGAGTTTAGAGAGAAAGAGAGTAGGACTGATTTGTTATTCCATGTATGCATTCAGTGGTTGATTCTTGTATGTGCCCTGACTGGGGATCAAATCCGCAACCTTGGTGTATCAGAATGACACTCCAATCAACTGAGCACCCAGCCAAGGCCTGAGCTGCCTTCTAAGTTCACAATTTTAACAGAATAAACAATACTGAGAGAACTCCTTGGCAAACGATACTGGATGATATGACAAAGATGTTTTAGGAAGATGTGGGAAATGTTTTTTTGTTAGCACCATGAAGTAGGTCATCAAAATGTGTAGAA